TCGAGGTGTGTAATTAAAATTATTGTCCAACTCCCGACAGCGGTGTCACTTCATGAAGTTTTCCGATTGGTGTAACTCCAATTTCCCCAAGTGATACACAACTGTGCAGTTAAAGCTATTGTATCCACGTTCGACAGAATTTAAGATAAACTTTATGACGATGTTATTTTCAGCAGCGTGAGAGGTAACATTTTTGCTGTGATGTATTTACACCCTTGACTAGCTTATGGTCGATTAACAACAGCCTTAAGATAAATATAAATGCCATTTGCCAAAACTAGCCGTATCGCCCATTTGCTGCATTCGGTTGTAATCTACATTAAATTTATATCAAATCCAGACATTTAGCTATGAAAATACTCATGCTTTTTTGAAAATCTTTCCAAGCTACGATTGTTTTGAACTCATTTACCCCCAGTTTTTAAAGGAAATAACATTATTGATGGTGTTGCACCGGATTTGATAGGAGTTGCATGAATGGTCTGCCAAAACAAGCAGAAATTCTCAAGTATGCGTTGTTATTGCTAGCAAAACCACAGGTTCATTCTTGTTGCGATAGCCAGACAAAACGCATTGTATGACCATGCCATTCCAGTCGTAGCTACATGCGCAATGAGCAAAACATTCCTGAATGTACACTTTTCCCCTGCCCCGACTTATGGTAAGAAAAATAGCTATTTTTTCAATTATGTAACAACTTTAAACTAAGGTTTGCAAGCATCTAGCCAACAGGTCAAATAGTCTTCAGTTCGTGTAGACTACATGACAGTGTTGAGCTATTCTGGCAATTTTGAAAGCGACTGCAACAAATTTGTTCAATGAATGGTGGAGATTTGGAATCATTTAAAGTGTTTGTAGCATAACAAAATGAAGAAATTTCTGTTCTGAGTCCTTCTTGATCTACTGCCAGTATTCAAGGAAATAGTGCCTCAATCGCGGAATGGTATGCCTGACTCAGAATGAATGCGATGCGTGTGGAGAATTTGCCGCCCTTGGGTTGAGTTAGTTTTAATAAAAGCTGTTCATTTGTGCGAATTTGAGCATTGCCAAGGGGGAACTATACTTTTGCCTCTGTTTTCAAGCATTTAGGAGTGTTTTCTCCCCATGACCTTGGTGTTCATAATTCACATTTTAAAGTCTCTGGCGGGAGTGAAATATAGAAATATCATTCAAGACTTTAACGAAGTGCAATAGAAATGTATGACAAATTTTCAATGCTTCATTCCCAGAGATAAGAAATACCTTTGTATTAAAACGGGAAAATAACTGGCAAATTCGTTTCTTCAAGCTTAGTTTGCTTAAATTTATGTCTTTCCATCCCAAATCCTGTCTCGTTACTGGAGTCACTCGATGCATAAATGTAGCAAACAATAATTATTATTATGGAGGGACCGGTGTCGTAAATTACTCAGGAATGATATGCAAGACCTGATTTGCCTGGGCTTACTTATGTAAATCACCAATTCTTGCAGCTAAATTTGCTTTTATTTATTACCCAACTTGGCTGTTATAAGTAGCTTACTATAAACCAATTTAAAGACTAAAGCACTGTGCTTTTTAACATGACCTAAGCAAACTTACTAATATCCTTTTCTATCCGTTCTCTAAGCGCTTGCACCCTCAACTTCCCTCCTGCCCGACGGAAGATTCCATGAGCTGCGTGCTCAACCTGCTGTAAGTAGGAAAGCATGTTGCAGATGCACGGAGGGAAGGGATATCCCACTCGGTGTTGCCAGAACTCCAACGATCGACCAAAAAGGGGTCCTGAGAAGCTCCTGCTCGCCCCATAGGCGTTCACTGCTACGGTCTCAGTGCTCGACATTTCTGTGTCCTTTAACTCCGGCCAAAATGCAAAACCCGAATTAGTGGAATCGGGAGTTTTAACCATTTCAGGAGAATATTCTCCCTCACTGCCAGTCATTATGGAATTAATTGGAGAAGGCATGCTGTCGACGACAAAGGAATCAGTTTGCTGAATTGGAACAGGGAGTGTGGGATCTCGACTTGGTTCGCCTTGACTATCAGCAGCCGTTGTTGTTTTTGTTGTTGCTGTTGTCATCGTTGTTGGCGTTCTCGTTTGAGCATTCTTGCTGCGCCCCTTTCGCCTATAAAATTAACGATCGCACATAAAATTTACCCATGGTAAATAATAAACTTGATTTGGGAATTCGTGCCTAGCTACTGTAGTGCAATCAAATCACAAATGACTAAACCCCTTAAAGCAACGATTTCGGACTTCGATTGCTCCTAGCAATAGGACGGGAGTTAAGCATCTGTGACCCAAATTTGCTAAATTAAAGTAACCGTAAGCAAAAATAAGAAGCTCAAAATTGTGAAATGGCAGTGCAAAGATATGTTCAATCTGTCGTGTTCATTTTGCCTTCGTAGGAGTAAGAGAAAGAGGATGACTCTACTGTGTGGCCATGGCAGTAAACAACCTAAGTTAATTCATTTGCTCCACTATTTGTGACTTTATTTTCTGCGACAGTTATAAGTAGCATTAATCAGTAGGCAATCAGCTGCCAGTGAGTCACATGCTCATATGCTGCAGAGGTCTCAGGCACTATGCAAATCAGAATTTGGAAGTATTTTGTGCGTTCAATGCAAAAATTAACGGTATGAATCCACTTCATCCAAAGCGTATCATATTTAAAGTTCTCCTGTTCATAATCTCATTCTACCATGCTGGAAAGGATCTACAGCTAAAATGAAATCAAATGTGATAACAATAAACCTTGGCGCTCTCGGGATTGTAGTGCCACGAAAACCCGATTAATGTGTAGAAAAAAAGGTCGGTAATTAGAATAACTGATTCAGAACCACCTTCTTAGTTAACCAACCTCGAATTTACACATATTCGACCTTATTCCTTCAGGATACACACTGGTAGTTGATAGGTATAGCATGTTTAGAGATCATTGTTTGAATTGATGCCATCATCCTGAGTAAACTTAGGCATATCGTCAGATGTTAATTACTTATTACGTGACCTTTAGAATATCCATAAGCATGAACTAAAAACTGTGTCGTAAATAGCTACTCTTATTCTTGCACAATGACTGTATGCCTCCGCAAACTGCATGCTATTCGTTTGTAAAAGAGGAAATATAATAACTTCCGACCTTTCATTTTCATTGAGAAAATATTTAACCGAAGACAAATTATAAGTGCTTTGGACTTGTTGTTTAGAAGCATAGTTGAGTCTCTTTTTTCGCCGAACTGTTTTCGGCGTGCTTTCCAAATCAGGTTAATTGTGTAAAGCAGGAGTAAGCTCAAGTGCAGCAGATTTTACCTAAAACGCCAATAAGACCCACCATCAACTAGGTACCAACTGTTTATAAAATGCCTCAACTACTTTCGTAAGTTGCACTGCTAGTTGCTAGGTTTTTTTGAATCCTATCGTAACCTCCAACACGAAGGTCGATAGGCAAAGCATTTGAGGTAGTTGGCTTTGTCGGCCGACGGAATCATTGCGCAAAGGGGATGCGTTCATCTTCTTTGAGCTCGGTGATTACTGAGTGAAGACAGTTTGAACATGCGACTTCAGCAATGCTTATTTACGAACCTGATTAACCTTGGCATTTAAAATCAGTGGAATTAGAAAATGCTGATTGGGAGAGGCTCAATTAGGAAATAATTCCCTAAAATTTAGGAGGTTGGCTGCTAGTTGAAACTTCTGTTATGTCTCCAACTGCATATTTCGTGCTCATGCTTCAAGAATTTGTCATCAATCAAATGCGGTTTATAGTCCATGCTTTTAATAGACGTGTCCTGATTTCGAAGCCGTTATGCGTAAAAGGATGCAAAACCCTTTTTATTTACAAACTGAAAGAATACCAGATGCTACAAGCAGTGCCAGTGCATGATAACATGCTAAGATCCGAGTTTAGTTATCTTCAAAATAGCAACAACCAGTGGCCTTAGCGCTTACCACTTGATAAGCCGATTAGAGGGGCAGACCTGTTCATGTGTCAGAGTGATTTGTGCTTGGGCCATCCGCCGCAGAACGTTGAGTTGGCCAGCAGAAAAGACCCAAATGGGTATTCCGTCCTGCATGTGAGGGATGAGCATGCTAATGATTCTGACTGATGGTTCCCGGTGTAGAGATTGCGAATTCTCGAATGTAGCACCGCCGTTGACCAGTGGAACGATTTCGTTTTCCTTTACCTCCTCAGCAGTGAACTTTCGCACCATTGGTGAAGGATTTGGCAGGACCAAAGTATACGGGCATGGTCTCTGCTGACGCTCAGACCACCGAAAATGGTGTTGACGTACTCGAAGAAGTGAGAGTCCTCTTCCGAATTAACGTAATAAAGGAAAGCCTTGCTAGTGCAGTATGTTACAGTACATAGTGTGGTCTTCTCCTTAAGTCTAAGAGAATCGGCGATATCTTGTGCAGTGTTACGTCCCAGCCTTTGATGCTAAGTTTGATTAAAACTAATCTGATCGCAATTTTCGTGTTTAGAATGGTATATTCTACTACAAGAGTAGCAATTCAGCATGATTTCGCTGCCACAAATTTCTTCGCTCTTCCGGATATTCACAAACACCTTTATACCTATTATCTACCTGCATACCTTTACTACATAGTGGATGGGCTCCACATTCATTTCAACCCACTCATTCCAGCAAAAATTGAGAAGTTTCACCACAACCGGCAATTTTTTTTAACAAATACCTCATGCGTCAACTGTTTCCCTCTCTGCAACACGTAATCTAATAAAGCATTCTGCAAGTAATTAAGCTATTTTTCACTGTTTGAGGTTTATCTCTTGCTTTCATGTTGGCAGTGTGAAGATGAGAAATCAAACGAATGAATCCTCATTTAATCATAACAAATTGCCACAGCATTGCAACTAGAATGGTAGATTTAATAATACTGGTAAAAAATCTAATTCGATCTTGTTGTTAATTGAATGCGCCATTGGAGTGGGCTTTCGTGCTACTTAATGTAGCTACCTGACGAACCTAAGCACCAATCAAGAATGGTGAAAGATGTGAACACCACGTTATTGTTCACTGCCTTTCATAACACTTGCAAACATCAGCAGCCTTGGGAGTATAACCAAAGGCTGAATTCATATGTTATTTTTAAAATGTCAAAAAGAAAAACTTCATGAAGTGACACCGCTGTCGGGAGTTGGACAATAATTTTAATTACACACCTCGA